CACACGTCAGGAGAACACACGTCAGGAGAACACACGTCAGGAGAACATCAGTCAGGAGTCTACGTCAGGAGAACATCAGTCAGGAGAGTCTACGACAGGAGAACATCAGTCAGGAGAACACAAGTCAGGAGAGCATCAGTCAGGAGAGTCTACGTCAGGAGAACATCAGTCAGGAAAGCATCAGTCAAGAGAACATCAGTCAGGAGAGTCTACGTCAGGAGAACATCAGTCACGAGAACTACAAGAAGAGGTGTAAAGACCCTGAAGAAATGTGCTGGTAACAATAACTCCATAATAAATTACCTGCACAGACCAGGTGATTAATTCCTCCTCTCCTCCACTTCAGCAGGTCTCCTCCTTTCCCACAGCCGAGGTCCAACACAGAAACCTTCGGAGATCCTGAACCCCGCACTTGGTCCAGGATCTCTCCTGTCAATCAAATAAAAAACACACAGGTGTGTTCAGGTGTTTTTCTTTTCTTGTAACTATAATAACTTCCTTTGACCACCTACCACCACACCAAATTCTGTTCTCAAACGTAACACTAAAGTTTCTACAAATATTAGTTATTTTTGGAATCCACCACATTTAAAAATAAGATACATCACAGAGCTGCTTCATCTGTTACTCTCATTAGTGTCCGGAGAAGATTAAACTAAATTATGACAAAAGAATCGGAGGACTTACAACTCATATACGTTTCCTCATAACTCATATACGTTTCCTCATAACTCATATACGATCCTCATAACTGTGGGTAAGGGTTACCCCACAGTTATAAGTTCATGTAAACCCTGAATCATCTCGTCTCTCCTCTGCTACACTTATCAGTGAGGATGTTTTTATTGATCGTATTGATTAATGGTCAGTTACCGATCAGGACACTCTTCAGCCAGTTGTTGAAGTTCCTCATGAAGAAGATTCTGCTTTGACTTCTCGCAGCCAGACCGACTTCCTGCAGACTGTTGTAGTGACTCGCTACCTTCACACTGTGATCAATCAGCTGATGGATAAATCACATATCAATAACTTCACACAATCAATAATCTATCACATCTGATCTGAGGGATGACAATCAGTCAGTAAATCTACCAGCTTCTTGGGGGGTGAGACCCGTTCTTCCTCTCGTCTCCTCTTCATCGGTGCCTTCTGTCCTCCTCCTCCTTCCTCATGTCTTCTCTGTCCTCCTCCCTCCTTCAACGTTTCTGTCTTGGCAGACTGAAGCTCCATCATTCAAACTGAAAGACAGAAACATCACATGACATGACCAGCTCCTCCACCCTGACCAGCTCGACTCCTCCACCCTCACCAGCTCAACTCCTCCACCCTAACCAGCTCAACTCCTCCACCCTAACCAGCTCAACTCCTCCACCCTAACCAGCTCAACTCCAGTGAAGAAGATTGATTTTATTTTAGTGACTTAGAGAGCAGAAATATCGGAACCATCAGGAGTAAACACAAACAACAACAAACCCGCTAACGGTAGCTGTTAGCTGCTAACAATAAACCGGTCTGAGACAGACGGAAACAAAGACGACATTTTAATCTCTTCATGAAATAACCGCTCAGCCGTTAAAGTTCCGTTAACGCAACAATATCTTTAAAGTTAAAGTTAAACACAACCAATAAAGCAGAGAAACTCACGAGGCTCTGCAGACTGGACGCGTGCGCGCGGAGCAGCTTCCGGATGTGTCCTGGATGTGCTTACGTCATATTACGGCGCCACAGACCTTCGGCGACAAAACAAACAGACGGAATTCCGGTTAGTCTTAGTTCTGAATCAACAACCTCAGATATCAGGTCTGAATTAGCAGCCACAGATCTCAGGTCTGAATCAGCAGCCACAGATCTCAGGTCAAATTACTTTTTTTTAAAAAACATCCCAAAATACATACAATTTTAAGAAGGAGATCAACAGAAACTGAATAAATGTGTTTTTCTCTCACTTATTAACATTTAAGGTCAAAGCTGTGTTTGGGAGGTTAAAACTGGAGCTCCCCTTCAGACTAACAGCTGTCTCGGCTCTATTTTCTCCGAACATTTTCAACTTTCACTTTAAATTAGTTGTAAAGTGAAGCTGAGCAGCTTCACATAATAACCTAAGCTCAGGTACAATAACACTGATAGTGTCTGATCTGTGTGACGATGGTATGGTTTGTGTTGTTGTTTCACACTGAATGAATTGATGGAGACAGACACACACACACTGTGCTTCAGTTTCATAGCAGCTGATCCTGGATCAGTTTCATACAGTTATCCTGTCTGTAATTCATCCTGCTGATGGAGATCTGACAGATAACATCAAATACTCTGTTGGCAGAAGCTCTGGCTCGCTGCCGTCCAGCCAAATGTTTGCTGGCTCTTAAAGATCAGTTACCGTTGCAGGAATCCAGGAAACTAATAACTGTCAGCATTCTTCTCTTTAATGAAACAAACCAAAATATATCAGAGGACCCGTTTTAAGGGCGTCCTGATGGTCATGTGACACAGATAGAATAAGCATCCAGCTCGACCTTGAAGCAGTTACATCTTCACATATATCTATTGTTTACGCTTATGTGTTTGCTTCCTTTGTTCCTTTTGAACATCAATTCTCGGAACAAAATGTGAGCACAGATGATGCTAAAGGTAATTCTAAACCCAACGTCAGCTACTTCGAGGCCTTGGAGAGGGTGCTGTCGATCCGGATTGGTCAAGCAGCTGCAGAATTAAAATTACATCACAGCAAGAAGAAAAACAACAAACAATACAATAGTATATTGAGCTGCTGCAGCCGTATGAAGAAAGATTACCCTAAACATAGATTGAGTGAACAACGAATGTACAAATAACCAAAAATGTTCAGACCTCATCTGTGTTTGCAGAGAGGAACTTCAGAGGGTTCTGGAATCAAATATTAAAAGCTAATGGTAGAAATGAAGATGTTAAAAGTGAAAGCTAAAGACTACAAAGGTGAAGACAGTTGAAATTAAAGATTAACAATGTTCTACAAATTCTCTACTATTCTCTAGTCTTTAATAGTCTGTTTTACACTTGTGTTTACTAATCACTATGAGTCTCCAATGTTCTCTAGTCTGAACCGATCACTATGAGTGTACAATGTTCTCTACTAGTCTTAACCGCTCACTATGAGTCTCTAATGTTCTCTACTAGTCTTAACCAGTCACTAT